TCGCTTATCAACTCTCATGCAACTCTTGTTCTCGTTTGATCAAGCAATGATAGTTGATGAAACTCTCATGTAAACTCTCGCTTGTCAACTCTCATGCAACTCTTGTTCTCGTTTGATCAAGCAATGATAGTTGATGAAACTCTCATGTAAACTCTCGCTTGTCAACTCTCATGCAACTCTTGTTCTCGTTTGATCAAACAATGATAGTTGATGAAACTCTCATGTAAACTCTCGCTTATCAACTCTCATGCAACTCTTGTTCTCGTTTGATCAAACAATGATAGTTGATGAAACTCTCATGTAAACTCTCGCTTATCAACTCTCATGCAACTCTTGTTCTCGTTTGATCAAGCAATGATAGTTGATGAAACTCTCATGTAAACTCTCGCTTGTCAACTCTCATGCAACTCTTGTTCTCGTTTGATCAAGCAATGATAGTTGATGAAACTCTCATGTAAACTCTCGCTTGTCAACTCTCATGCAACTCTTGTTCTCGTTTGATCAAGCAATGATAGTTGATGAAACTCTCATGTAAACTGTCATTCTCAAAAGCCATGTATCATTATTAGTTTATTACCTTACCTGCACAATACCATCCATATGAAAGCACATAACGACCTCAGGAACATTACACATCAAATTATCAAGCCAGTAATCCAGGCCGGTCAAAACATTGATAGGTTTGGAGCAGTCGCTGAGAATAAAAAACAATCAATGTTACTAAAGGGAACACTGACTTTCTAAGACATCTACAAGACTAACTTTTCGGAAACAAACACAGTCATATTAAAATTAAAGGTGAAGTGAAATCACCCGTTTTCCTGCTGTATTACGTTGCATAAAGTTATAGACTTTCACAGCTTAAGTGAGAGTTAATACTTCACTATAACTAAACCTTCAAAACATCAAAACAGCACAAATAATATAAATAACCAAGCAGTTAATAACGTTTGAATGTTGTTTTTCGATTATTGAACTCATGCAGTGATTGCAGTCGCCTCTATAAAAGCTTGAAAGCGATATATTTGTTATATCAAAACTCCGAATTACGCTTTTAAGAACTCTTTTTGAAGTTAAAACGATGATGTAAAGCTTAAATAGTCGGTTATGTCTTCGCAAAACCGAACAAAACAACATAATGTACCAAGGTCATAAAATGTATTCGTACAGCAAACACGAAATAAACCTCGAAATAAACAAAGTAGACACCTACTATTTCAAGGATTATCAACAACAAGTTGTTCCTTTTCACTGCTAACTCTTCCAGTTTTAATGATATTTTAAACTGTTTCATATTGTGTTTTGAAAACATTTTTTTAAAAAAATACTTTGCAAAATGACCGTTAAATTGCTGACGTTTTTCACTGAAACACAAACGTTTCGTCTTAGCCAATCAGCAAGTTGCTAATTACCAGTCTTCATTCGTTCAAATTGTGCGCGTGCGCACAAGTAGCATTCCGTTGGCACAATACCCGGGTGTAATTAATCTCCCAGCGGAATTAGTACCCTTGCACGCTCGGGGACTCGTAACTCGTTTAGCTTAAACGGTGGATAAGTCAAAATTAAATAACACTCTTACATCTCTCTTGAATGAGTCAACTTGAATATTATGCACTGAATATGTAGTTGTAAACAGTATCTTTGTATTAAGGTTAAAAACATTTAGTTGGCTTGTTGAATAAAACGATAGACTTGCTTTTTATCTTGAACTTGTTCACCGTTTAAGCTAAACGGGCTTGATACAACCGGTCCCAGCATAATAAATATATGATTTGAAATCTTTCTTACTTCAATCTCAGGCTGACAGCCGGGTATTTTCCACCACCAAATATGGGCATATTTGAACCGATCAACATTTTTGTGTCTTCAAATTTCCATAAAACATTTCGTTGGAATCGTGATTTTTCTTGGGGCTGAAAGCAAAAATGAGATCATCAGAGTTTCTCTGATATGATAAACTCTCCCTCCACTTTATATTATCTCTATTGAGCCCCTTCCTATCAATTTTTCTTCTCTATTCATCCCCCCTCTGCACCAGGTTCTTGCTATATTATCCAGCCCTCACTCTCCATCAAGTCCTGCTCTCTATTCCATTCCCCCCCCTCTGCACCAAGTCGTATTCCCTAAAAAGCCCCTCTCTTCTCAAGTTCTGCTCTCTATTCAGGGTCCCCCTCTCCACCAGGTTTTTCTCTTCTCAGCAGCATCTTCCCCTCTCCATTCAGCCCCCTCTCCATCAAGTTTTCCTTCCCATTCAGCCCCCTCTCCATCAGGTTTTCCTTCCCATTCAGCCCCCCTCTCCATCAAGTCCTCCTCTCTTTTCTGCCCCTCCCTCTCTACCAAGTCCTACTTTCCATTCAACCCCCCTCTCCATCAAGTTCTCCTCTCTTTTCTGCCCCTCTTTCTATCAAGCTCCCTCTCTATTCAGTAAAGGCTTGTTCCAGTAAGTTCTCTGTATCACTCTTCACCTCATCTTCTGTCCAATATTATATTCTATCATAAATCATGTGAACAGTTCATGCAAATCTTACCTTAGGAAAAGGCTCTGGCAGAAATGGCACAAGGTCTCTACAGGAACTGGATGGTTGAATGGTCTGAATGTTCGTTGCATCACAAGATTGGTTTGTAATATCTGATGAAAACTGATTTTGATCTGGCTCAATATTTACATCAGGGGAACTGATAGAAATAAAAGTAAATTACAAGTCAATTAAAGAATGCAATAAAAAATGACTGAAATATTCTAAATGCTTGAAACATCTCCCTCAGAACTGACAGAGGGTGTAGCGTTTGAAAATTCAACCCCCCTAAACAATCCTGCTGAAACATAACATTACTGACCTGTAACACAAGAATTTTGACATCATATTTCTCTCTCGACTGTCTCTTGGATTTTTTTTTCTGCGAAGCGAGGTTTGATTCTAAGGAAAGAACCGTTCAAATGTTTGACAAATCAGCTCTCAATAAAAGAGATTAGGATCATTTTCGTCGCTTACCTTTTCCATATTTGCCTCTTCGCTGAAAACATCTTGTAGCCATTGCATATCCTCAAGTTTTTCTTTCTGAAATCCAACATTGTGAAGCATTTATTATGTATAATTGTGGCTGGGTTTAGCTTCTCCAGTCTGAGAGAAAATGCACAGAGTTCTTCAAATGTTTTGCAAAAAAAATATGCACTTAGTGAACAGTGATTTTTTACTTTACCTGCGCAGCCTGGCTGAGGACATTTTGAACGTCGAATTCATCCAGAAGTAATGTTTTACCAACTTTGTTCACACTCAGACTTATTCCACTTTTGCTGAAAATATATTCAGTAGTTTTACACGAAATATAATTGAATACATTAGGTTGATAAATTGTACCAACAGACACAGCATTAGATGCACAAATTTACCTGAAAGGCATCTTTAACAATTTCTTTATGTTCTGAAAGAGATTAAAAAGTCTTATGTTATTCAAACTAAGCTATTAGCTAATCTGTTTCATTGGTTCTTTGTGGTTCCAGTTTGATCAGTCATTTGAATATTTACCCCATGCCATTTTAATACAGTTCAATTCACTATGGCTTAGCATTTAATTTAGAAGTTCATTTCATTTCATTCCAGTTTATTCTGTTTCATTTAACCCTACACTCCTTTTATTCAAGTTAACTTCAGTCTTGTCTGAGCAAAATCAATGAAATTCTGAGAATTGACAGCGAACGTTACCTCAGCGTCTGAGATGACATCAACATCATCAATGTTTTCCAGAAATGAGTGGGCCATATTAAAACTAGATTTATAAAAAAACGAAGCTGGTATTTATTGACAGGGTATCATAATAGCACCAATAATATAATGGTACATCAGTTTAACATAATACAACAGGTTTATCACCAATGTTACATCAGGGCCCCGTTGTATCAAGCCTGTTTAGCTTAAACGGTGGATAAGTTCAAAATAGAAAGCAAGTCTATCGTTTTATTCAACAAGCGAACTAAATGTTTTTAACCTTAATACAAAGATACTGTTTACAACTACATATTCAGTGCATAATATTCAAGTTGACTCATTCAAGAGAGATGTGAGAGTGTTATTTAATTTTGACTTATCCACCATTTAAGCTAAACGGGCTTGATACAACCGGCCTCTGCATATTTCAGTGAAATTGAGTTGAATGTTAGCAATTATACTTTGTGGTTGGTTGGTAAAAGCAAGTTGCACCAGGTTGAGATGACTTTTGCTTCAAATGAGACGGCTACAAGCAAAGTGGTCTACATTTCAGAGAAAAATAAACCACACAAGCAAAGCATTTAATACCTTGACAAGTCATTTGGAGGCTCATGTCTGGCTGAGGTCCAGTTACTAAACCTCCCTTGAAGACTGTCATGAAGCCAATTGTCTGGAGGTTGGTTTATGTCCGTGTTCTAAACAAAAACGACTCATTAGACCGCAATTTGATGATATTTTTTGCTTCAACAACTGAAATATAGAAATTGCAAGGCAGTTCTTTGATGACTTACAAGTTCTAACGTTGAATATGTTTCAATCGGTCCCATTTTTGTGTATTTAACAACAGCCGTCGAGTTGACGTCGGGCGTTTGAGCCTAAAACGATGAACAAGGTCCTAAAATTTCACACAAGATTTAATATAAAAACTTTGTTTTAAAAGCAAAATTACCATCGCAATTTGCTAGAGAAAGCAAGTAAAGAAAGCATTTGTGCAAAGGATGTATACCGAAGTTTGCAAAAAAGCATAAAAACCGAGCATTTTCCGGGCAAATCCAAGTTATTTTTTACCTCATCTGATGAATCATTTTCTTCAAAATCATCTTTTTCCTCCATTTTGAAATTTCTCAAATTTGGTGATCAGATTCAGTAAATCCTAAATATCAAATTTTAATCCTTGCGATTATCAGGATTTAGATTAGGTTTCAGATTACTTTTATGGTTGGTTAGGGTTAACCCAGCGGGTTAACGTTAAACCCAAGTTAATCCTATCAACTTGTTATGTATCGCCCAAACATGGCTGCTCAATTTTTCCAAAAAATTTCACCAACAAAACTCGCATTTACAAGTCCCCTGCGATACATAAACTTTGTTAAACACTTGAAATATGAACCTGCGAGTATTTGTTTTGCTTCGAGGAGGTTAAACTCATCGGGAAGCTCGTCAAAGTTGGATAATTTAGCGTCTGCTGCAGAGAAAGTTGTGGGGTATCAGACCAACCTACTTCGTTGCCTTTTGAGCGATGAGGTTTCAAATGTTTTGGTGCACAGTAAGAAGTTGGTTGGTTCTAGGCATCCGTTGTTAAAAACTGCTCGAAATTTGGTTTATGACGGCACGGAGGGATTTGATACAGTGGGACTGGTTATATTACTGTTGTCGAGATGTGGAAAGGGGTTAATGTCGGGGGGTGCCCCCCTGGGAGAGGAGGAGGTGAGCGGGATACAGCAGAAACAACGTAAACTGGCAGAGGTGGCCGAGATGATTAATGCAGGTACGGTACCAGGTATTGTATTACATGCCAGACCTACCCCCTCCCCCATAGTAAAATTTTGATATGGGTTAGGTCCCAGACTTACCCTTTTTGTCACCCCTGTGCTGTTGAAACTGATCTATATAATGAGATCGAAACTGGAGTGTTATTCATGTCATATTACAGGCTACATGGTTCATCTTGGTATGGTAAATAATTCAGACTTCCAACCTTCGGACGACACCAAGATTATGAACTTTGGGAATAAAATAACAGTTCTGACTGGGGATTTCTTCCTTGCCAAGGCATCGGTTGGTTTATCTGAACTGGAAAATGCGGAAGTAGTTGATATTTTGGCTGGCGTTATTGGTGATATTGTTGAAGGTGAAACGCTCAAAGATTATAAAACTGTACAAGATACGAGTTTGGATGATTGGGAAGATATTGGGTTTAAATCTCGGGGGAGTCTTTTCGCTAAAAGTTGTTTGGCAACAATAAAATTATGCTCACTGTCGCAAAAGGTAAACTCTTATTTTGGCAAACCAGATTTGCCACAAGGTTGTTCTAACAACTTGCTATATATTATATTAACAACTTCTCAACAATTTGGAAGTGAATTGAACCAATTGTAGCAATTTAATTAGTGTGCGATATGTATTTGATATCAAATTTATCTTATTTAGTATGAAGATGCTGGTTTTGCATTTGGAAAGAACTTGGCCCATCTTCAGAAAATCTCCAAAGATTTTCAAGAACTCAAGGGTGAATTAGAAACAATCTCATTGAACAATGCTGCAATCATAGAGAATAAACACATTCTATCTCCAGATCAACTTACAAAATCTCTGAACACCTTTATCTCTGTGGAAAAAACTATGAAGGAACAACTGCAAAGCTTTGAAATATTTAAAAGTCTTGAAGACTTAGCTAATGACTATGGTAATTCAGCTTTGAAAAGTCTGGAAATTTTTCCAAATTCTGAAGCTAAGAACTGCTTGGATAATCTTGTGAGATATCTCATGGCTTTGTACAATAAATAATGGCCTGGCATTTCATAAATATTGAGTGAAGTTCAGTTCAGTCTTTCTAAAGTACAAGAAAGAGAGGTGTGTGTCTTAGAGAGGTATCTGTATTGGAGAGGTGTCTGTATTAGAGATATGTCTGTATTAGAGAAATGTCTGTATTAGAGAGATGTCTGTATTAGAGAGATGTCTGTATTAGAGAGATGTCTGTATTAGAGAGATGTCTGTATTAGAGAGATGTGTCTGTATTAGAGAGATGTCTGTATTAGAGAGATGTCTGTATTAGAGAGATGTCTGTATTAGAGAGATGTCTGTATTAGAGAGATGTCTGTATTAGAGAGATGTCTGTATTAGAGAGATGTCTGTATTAGAGAGGTGTCTGTATTAGAGAGATGTCTGTATTAGAGAGGTGTCTGTATTAGAGAGATGTCTGTATTAGAGAGATGTCTGTATTTGAGAGATGTCTGTACTAGAGAGATGTGACAATTAAGGTAGTGCTCCTAGTAATTCTAAACACACAACAAATCAATCTGATTCATTCTATTCAATTTTTGTTCAAAGCTAATAAATAAAATCTTAAATACTCTAAGTAAATATTTCACTGACTAATTTTGAGATCCCAAAGTCGCGTTTCTCCTACCAACTACCATTTAATGTCTTTCATGTTTAAAATTAATTCATAGCCGCATTAAAACATAAACTAGCTTTGATAATACGAACTCGAAAAATTCATTTATACAATGAAAATGGAAAGAGGGATATTTGGGGCACATTTTTTGCACTAGACATTCGTCTTCAACCATTATCTGGTGATATTTTAGTTTGGTGTTTCTTTCATTCCAAAACCCGTTCTACCAAACCTGACTCTCCGTTAGCTCTTTCTGCCAATCATTCATCGCTTTTCCTTTCAGTTCATTCTGTTAGCGGATCCAGGAAATCTCGTTCGATCAATTTTTCTAGGAAATTCCTCGCGTTGTTTCCCGTCTTGAATTTCCTTGTCTGGCTTCGCTCGCTGCTGCGCATGTCCAGTAAAATCCTACCCTCACGAGAGAGCATGCGCAGAAAAGGCAACAGCTCGTCCACGGATTCCAACTGGTACACTGTCAATAATGGTCGGCCAGGGTGACACTCCAATGTCTTCCCCGTCACATAAATATTCTTGCGCTTCGCCAACAGTTTCGTAATGCGACTGACGTAAGGTATAAAAATAGAACCAATATTTCCTTTGTTTTCTTTGGTACCCACTTTCCCCGCGGTCTCTTTAGTACCCGGGTTTTTCGCGGCCTCTTTAGTGCCCATACCCTTACTACTTCGTTTTCCCTCCGTCTCTTTAGGAATCTTGTTTTTCGCGTTCTCTTTGGCGCCAACTCCCTTTGAACTTTTGCCCATTCCCTTCGCCTTCTCGCTGGAGCACAGACTGCTCTCGCTCTCAGTAATACCCAGACTCCTAGAGCCTTCGAAGGCCCAACGGTACATTTGGAATTGAGGCAACTGCTCTTGTGGTAAACACAAGGCCATGTCCAAGAGCTTGCAAACAGACAGATACAATCCAAGCCATTTCTCCTGACTGTAGTTCACGTAGCCGCTCGCACCCAGGACCGTCTCCGAGTAGAACATCTGCTGGTCACGTGACGGCGTATCGGCCTGTAATAGGTCGCTTTCCATGAGCAGAAACACGTGAATCATTTCGGAGATTATCATTGGCCAGATCGATGTCATGTTGTCGGACATGCGAAGAAGTAGCACTCGGAAGAATAAGAAGACTTGCTCGTGGAGGACTGGAACTTGGGGCATGCGCAGACACTCGGCCAAACGTTCCTGCATCTCAGGGAGGACAGACTGGTATTGATCTGCCTCGCTACTGAACACAGCGAACGAGAGACGTTTCAACATCATTGCTCTCTGTTGCATTTCCTGAAATAAATAAACACTGGATCAATAAGAGTTGATTCTTACTGGACCTCTAGGAAGAACAGTTTAGAACTGATAGAGCTATCCAGTGTAAATAAAGTTAGTTTAGTTTAGGTTTCCTCCTGTAGTAACACTGGATCAATAAGAGATGATTCCTACTGGATCTCTAGGAAGAACAGTTTAGAACTGATAGAGCTATCCAGTATAAATAAAGTTAGTTTAGTTTAGGTTTCCTCCTATAGTAACACTGGATCAATAAGAGATGATCCTTACTGGACCTCTAGAAAGAACAGTTTAGAGCTGATAGAGCTATCCAGTATAAATAAAATTTTACCTGTTCATGGTTTCCAAAGAGACTAATAGTAGAAGTTGAGGTGACCGTAGCCCGCGCCATAAGCTCTCGAAAAGAGGCCTGATCCTGAGTGAACAGGTTGTCGATGATGATGCGCCAGTTTCCGACACTTTCCGGAGCCATTTGAAAGAAACCTGTTTCAAAAAATAACTCAAACATTTCTTTACGCCAAGCCTTCCTTGTATATTGATAACTGCTGAGCGAGGCAACCAGCGCACAGCAGGCTCGGAAACTGGGAACATTAGCGACACTAAAAAAAGACAATGATTGAGATGTTGGCAAATGCAAAAAACTTCAAAATTCCCCCCAGAGATTCTACGTTTGTTATATTCTACCACGAGTCTAGCACGAGATTCCTTACTTCAACTCCATATTGAGGTTATCTGTCTCCAAATTCGGTCAAAAAATCTACAAACGTGAACTAATTACCTGTGATTTCTCAAATAAGGCGTGACATTGCCCATGACGTTGAACAAGAAGTTAACCACACGTTCCTTTTCTTCGCTTCCAAACACAATATCCAAAAGTGACGCCAAAACATCCGCCAGCACTATAAGAGCCTGGGTACTATGTTTCCCCGCGTTACCACCGCTGACAGGTTTACTCGCGGGCTCAGATCTGTCGTCACTACTACTTAAGGTGTCGCTCGCGGATTCGGGCGAGATTTCTTCATCGGGCCCTCCAGGGTGGGTTATAACGGATAGATTTCGGCTGAACCAAGCGGAAGAACCAAGTGATAAACCAGCAATTGATGTGCAGGCTTCTATCAGACGCTGAGCCACATCCTTTGAAAAAAAAACCCAACAAAAAATCGTCAAAAAGTCTCAACCAGTGAGCTCTATACAACTGGAACGATAAGTCCTAAAAAACATCCCTATTCAGCTTGTAGCCAAAATAGTTTTTCTGAGTTTTGAGACGAAATACTTGACGCTAGACGTTGGGCTGTGTGTCAAATTAAAGCTATTGAAAAGTTATATTTGGTGTAGAAACTTCAAGACTTAAACTACAAAGGAAATACATAAAAAAACAAAAACAATTACCAACCGGCAAAAAACCGGGAAATTTTGAAATCTTTTTCAGATATTTCCCTTTAAGCTAAAGTCTCGAAATTTCTACACGAAATATAACTTTTTAATAGCTTTAATTTCATATACGGCTCAACATTTGGCGTCAAGTATTTCAGCTCAAAACTCAGGAAAAGTAAAAAGCACTGCCTTTAATTTCCTCCTCAGAGTTATCGTTCCAGTTTGTTTACAGTTCAATGGTCTCAACAGGCCTCAATCAAAGATTCGATCAAACGAAGCCGATCTACAACGATACTGACCTGGGTTTCTTTACGAGATTTTCTGTCCTCCTTCCCCGGAACTTTGACACAATATGTATGTAAGTTAACCAGCAGGAGAAACACGGCCGGAGGGGGAAGGTTTAGTTGCAATCCATCTTTCAACAAAGCCAAGAATGAACCTCTGGCTTGGGTGATATAACTGAGCGGAGAGCGTTGTAAAAACTCGTGGAAGAATTGCAATAAACTTGCTTCAAAACCCTTGTCGCGATTTGATACCTCTTGACGAATAATTTGCCTGACTGTATCAATAACAACCTCCAAAGTTAGCGCCTAAAAGTAATTGTATTAGATCAATAAGAGATCATCCTTACTGGACCTCTAGGAAGAACAGTTTAGAACTGATAGAGCTATCCAGTATAAATAAAGTTAGTTTAGTTTAGGTTTCCTCCTGTCGTAACACTGGATCAATAAGAGATGATCCTTACTGAACCTCTAGGAAGAACAGTTTAGAACTGATAGAGCTATCCATTGAATTCTTCCTACCTTTATATCCAAGATCAGAGAGATAACTCGTAGTTGGTCATCGGAAACAGCCATAAAGAAATGTGCTTTCGTCTCAAAGTCTTTCTCGTTCAATTTATTCGTGTTCCAAACATCAGCGACGGATGCCAGGAATACAATCGTGTGACTCATCGCGATTGGAGTGAGCAACTGAAGTATATTATGACGCAACGACTGGAAAGTTGAAGTGAAGAAAATTTGATAGACTTTGAAACAACTATTGCACAAACAATACTTTTTATATATACACAAGAAAACTTGCTCACAAAGAGATTTATAGCAAGATTGTAAACAAGTTGTTGCTGGAACGATTTCTAAGCGAATTAAGCGAATTTCTGAGCGAATATCCTTCCAATAGCAAGTCATCCATAATCACAAACAAGTTCTTTACTTAAACATCATTTTGTATTTAAAAATGCATTTTACCGACCTTTGCTGTTCCCAGTAAAGCCATACTGGATGGTAAGGTGTCGTTAGGACTATCCAGATTCCATACACCCCATATCGAGAGCAGCGTAGCGATAACTCGAGGTAAAATGCTCAGCAATCCTTCCCTTGCTTCGAGAAGTGGAGTCGAGTTCTGCACGTAATCTGACGAATCGTTTGACTTGGAATTTGAAGAGAATGCGTGGAGAAGATTGGCGAATATTTGCATCGAACGAACTGGTTTTTGACCAGAATCAAGAGGAATCCCCGGTGAACCAACGCTGTTACCTTGAGGGAAAATATTGTCAGGTTTTAATGCGACAGAATATATCTTTTGGTAGGGCAGTTTTCACTGAAGTTAATACTTAATAAAGCATTGACGGTACCTGCGCGGGGTTGAATAGAAAGGACTGGAGACGATACAGCGTCCAACAAGCAGAAATGACAAATGGATGTTACCCCAGCAAGAGCTGCCAATAAATGATCAGGAGGATACTGCTCGTTGTGAGCGCTAGAAAATATAATATTCTTTGAATTATTCTTATTGATCCAGTGTTACTACAGAAGGAAACCTAAACTAAACAAACTTTATTTATACTGGATAGCTCTATCAGTTCTAAGCTGTCCTTCCTAGAGGTCCAGTAAAGATCATCTCTTATTGATCCAGTGTTACTACAGGAGGAAACCTAAACTAAACTAACTTTATTTATACTGGATAGCTCTATCAGTTCTAAACTGTTCTTCCTAGAGGTCCAGTAAGGATCATCTCTTATTGATCCAGTGTTACTACAGGAGGAAACCTAAACTAAACTAACTTTATTTATACTGGATAGTTCTATCAGTTCTAAACTGTTCTTTCTAGAGGTCCAGTAAGGATCATCTCTTATTGATCCAGTGTTACTACCGGAGGAAACCTAAACTAAACTAACTTTATTTATACTGGATAGTTCTATCAGTTCTAAACTGTTCTTCCTAGAGGTCCAGTAAGGATCATCTCTTATTGATCCAGTGTTACTACAGGAGGAAACCTAAACTAAACTAACTTTATTTATACTGGATAGCTCTATTAGTTCTAAACTGTTCTTCCTAGAGGTCCAGTAAGGATCATCTTTTATTGATCCAGTGTTACTACAGGAGGAAACCTAAACTAAACTAATATTATTTTATATACCTTTTAGTTCCTTCACTCCTGTGATCTTTAAACACCCTCGTGACGTCACTAATATTGCTGCACATCTGAAGCACGATTGGTACAACCCATTTTCTCAAGTCCATACCCAAATATGGCAAACACTCTATGACGAATCCTGTCCAGCGGCTGCTCATCTCAAAATTACCCTGAGCCTTCAAGCAACACAAGGCCATGTTCAGCAGCATCTCTTGCGAAGAAAGCGACTTTCCTTGAATAAAGCGAGAGGTGTACCCCTCCACCTGTGGGACACTCTCCTCACCACCTTTCATGATGATCTCAAAGTCCGAGTTTCCATGGTGATCTGGCGTCAGCGCTTCAACACACGACAACAGCGCATGCTCCAAGACGATCAACGCCTCAACGACTTCCAAAAGCTTTGATTGCAAAATCATTTGATCAACGGTTTCTTTCAATGGCCCCTGAGTGGAACCATTTGACGAATCAGACCCATCGTAAGAGGGTCGGAAGTTGTCGGACGAACGTCGGGCATCCCCGGGTGATGGTCGGGAAGGATTCGCAGGAGGTCGGGCGGACGATGTATTATCATATCTTCCATTAACGGTAGCAGCTAAACAGTGTATGATCGCTTTCTGAACGCGACATCGCGACAGCAAGTCTGTGATAAAATTTCCAAAGCCATGACCACTTTCACGAACGAGTTTGACCAGTTCCCAAATCAGGTTTGTCAGGCATTCCAAGCTGGAAACCTGTGTCTTAACGTTGCCTTCCAGGAATTCTGAAGAGACGTTGGACGAGAGAGGGTAGTGGCTGCGTATGAAGTAAAGAGTGATTGTTATCAAAATTTCCAGATATTTGCTTGTGTTCGGCTTGATCGTGAATTTACCAGGAGGACTTGTCTTCGAGTCTTAAAAAATGAAGAAAAACATCAAAGTTTAGAACTGATAGAGCTATCCAGTATAAATAAAGTTAGTTTAGTTTAGGTTTCCTCCTGTAGTAACACTGGACCATTAAGAGATGATCCTTACTGGACCTCTAGGAAGAACAGTTTAGAACTGATAGAGCTATCTAGTATGAACAAGATCAATTCAGTTACCTGTGCGGTCTCCGAACAACGGGCCATAGAAGCCCTTTCCAAGTAGCGAACGTTTGTGACGAATCAGAAGCTCTTTAATTCGTTCTTCGTAAGGTCCAAATGAGCTCCCGATGCTTGTGGCTGCCGAAGCGCAGACGAATTGTCTCGGAACGACTCGTAATACGCCGGAGAGGGTACGGAAAGCGTACAAGATGCGATGATAGTCACATTTGCCTGAATAATGGAGCTTATGCATGTCTGATGAACGAGATTGAGACTGTGGACCTTGCACAGGATTTGTGCTCGGCTGGTCTTTTGTGGACTCTAAAAATGAAAAAGATTTATTAATACTGGATAGTTCTATCAGTTCTAAACTGTTCTTCCTAGAGGTCCAGTAAGGATCATCTCTTATTGATCCAGTGTTACTACAGGAGGAAACCTAAACTAAACTAACTTTATTTATACTGGATAACTCTATCAGTTCTAAACTGTTCTTCCTAGAGGTCCAGTAAGGATCATATCTTATTGATCCAGTGTTACTACAGGAGGAAACCTAAACTAAACTAACTTTATTTATACTGGATAGCTCTATCAGTTCTAAACTGTTCTTCCTAGAGGTCCAGTAAGGATCATCTCTTATTGATCCAGTGTTACTACAGGAGGAAACCTAAACTAAACTAACTTTATTTATACTGGATAGCTCTATCAGTTCTAAACTGTTCTTCCTAGAGGTCCAGTAAGGATCATCTCTTATTGATCCAGTGTTACTACAGGAGGAAACCTAAACTAAACTAACTTTATTTATACTGGATAGCTCTATCAGTTCTAAACTGTTCTTCCTAGAGGTCCAGTAAGGATCATCTCTTATTGATCCAGTGTTACTACAGGAGGAAACCTAAACTAAACTAACTTTATTTATACTGGATAGCTCTATCAGTTCTAAACTGTTCTTCCTAGAGGTCCAGTAAGGATCATCTCTTATTGATCCAGTGTTACTACAGCAAGAAACCTAAACTAAACTAACTTTATTTATACTGGATAGCTAACACATATAATTCCCACTTACTTCTATTTTTTTCTTTCCCACCAGAAGATTTCAGGTCCTTCATACCATGAGACACTGTCAAAATCACTTCATTTCTTTCTTCACTAATATCCTCCAATATCCCGTCTTGTACATCATCGTCCTCGTTTTCACCCTCAGCATCCCTATCGATCTCTTGTTTCCGCTTTCTCTCACGCTCACAGTAGAAATGAGAAATCCTCGCGGTTGACGGATGAAGCAAAAGTAACAACAAGGGCTCCAAAATGCGACCAATATCACCTTGCTCCAGCGAATGACTAACCCACATTTTAGTAAGAGACCTGGGAATTTGGGAAAATGGAAATAATTCAGGTTGAATCTGATGAATATCTGATTGGTAAAACATCATGGCATTCGAATATGGTGAATCTTAATATTATAATACCGTATTTCAGGTTCGTCTGACTCAAGACCGTCCATCATGACAAAAAGAGATCTAGGCAAAGATTGGTAGAAGACACAAATACTAAATATCCTCAAATATCCTCAAATATCCTCAATGAGCTTTAAAATTTCATTTCAGAAGTAAACATTTAATATATCATGTTATAAATCGAAATGTCATGTAAGGTCCGTTTACACTTGCGAATTTTGCTGCGATTTTCTTCTTTTGATAGATGTGAACGAGTGATTAGTTACGGATGCTCTGATGTGTACGAGCTCCTATTTGAACATCAGTAACAAATTCACTCGTTCACATCTCTCAAAAGAAGAATATCGCATAATATAAAATCGCAGCAAAAATTGTAAACGGGAATTTATAAATCGAAATTTCATGTTATAAGTCGTGTTATAAAGCACACAAATACTACATATCTTCAATCTACTTTAAAATTCCCTTCTCATTGTTAGCATGCCTAAGGGCCTTTTTATATGATCCCGTCTAGCCGTGACGGGATGTTTTCATCCCGCTTAGCCGGGAAACTCGCCTAGGTGGGATGGCGTGTTTATATGGAGTTCATTTTGTAGTGCAGGTTCCTTCGACGGCATGTTTTACTGTAGAAAACGAATATGCCAATATATACACATGCTCCTAATGTATGTTAATCGCGAATCATCCCAGCCAAGCGGGATGGAGTGTTTATATGGCAATTTCTCGTCCCGTCTAAGGGGGATCCCGGCAAGAAGTGCCGGGATCCCGTCTACGCGGGATGGAAAAGTGGTCATATAAACACTAATTAGTGTTTGTATTACAAGCGGGATCTCGGAAACTGTTCCGTCCCGGCTAGGCGGGATCATATAAACAGGCCCTAAAGGCATTGTATTCAGTTGATGAAAATGACCATATAATACCTGTCAAAAGTGCGGAGACCACGGGCAGTTCTTCCCTGAATATTCTGTGATAAAATGCTCTTTGCAATGTGCCAAAGATTGGCAAATCTCTTCAGGGCCTCCAGGCGGCTCTCCTAAAGGTTCAATGTTTTTCAAATTGATTCAGCCGTTTCAAAAACGATCATAATTGACTGAGAGTTACTGTACCTTGTTAGCGGAGACCATAGAGGAACCAATGACGTTCTCGCAAAGATGAGGGCTTGGGGTTAAGTTGTGCAGTTGAATCAATAATTCCACCGCCTTACGATGATGGATGGGCACAGGACGTCCTAATATTGACCACAAACTGTTTGCAATCACCTGTGGTTGGACGAAACGAAATTAGTTTTGCAAAAATAAAGGTCTAGGGTCGGGTGTTCGAAAGGCGTTTAGTTTAAACGTATCCAGGCGCTTTAAACTATATATTGAAATGTAATAAGTATTCATATTACAGTGTCATATAGAGTTCAGTTGAAAACGCGAAAAATGGGGGAGAGACATCCATTTTAAGCAAAGTTTGTATCTCCCCCCCCCCGTTTTTCGCGTTTTCATCTGAACTCTATATGATTCTGTAATATGATTACTTATTACATTTTAATATATAGTTTGAAGCGCCTGGCTTCGAGGCTGGCTTAAACGGCTGAAAAAGTTCAAAATGGAAAACAAAATTATCTCTTTATGTGACAAATGAGCTGAAATATTTTCCCTGGAACAGATAAAGCTTTCTAAGTATTTTAACACTAGATCGATCAGAGATGACCCTTACTGGGTCCTTAGGGTGAACTCTCTCAATAACTCAATTCATAACCATCCGGTTCAACGATACCTTATAAATATCTGACTTTTCAATCAAGGTAACTTCGTCCAACGTTAGTATAGGAATGACCATAACTCCAGCGTCGACAGAGGTCAGTCCTGGGTTCACAGATAAGGTTAGGTTAATGAGATCAAGAACAGTCGATACTGATGTACTCTGGATATTAAAGTCATCCAACTGATAGCAACAAGATATCAAACATCGCAGCCATGTTGGGAGACGACCTTTCTCTGTAAACAGAATTAAAATTTTAGTTTAGGTTTCCTCCTGTAGCAAAACTGGATCAATAAGAGATGATCCTTACTGGATCTCTAGGAAGAACAGTTTAGAACTGATAGAGCTATCCAGTATAAATAAATGTTAGTTTAGTTTAGGTTTCTTCCTGTAGTAACACTGGATCAATAAGAGATGATCCTTACTGGACCTCTAGGAAGAACAGTTTAGAACTGATAGAGCTATCCAGTACAGATATTCTAAGTTCTGACCTTTCATTGAAGCACCAGACTCTGTTCCTCTCGCCTGCATCGGGAAACAAGACAACTCAACAAGTAGTTTACACATTGCTGTGTAGGTCTTTGCCGCAGTACTTGGAGAACTACACGAAGACTTCACGTGATCACCACCTGCTCCGAGCACGCGAGGGCGCATGTCTTTCACGTGATAGAGTTTGTCATTGGTAAAACTTTCCATGGCTTTCTCTCCATCGAATATCTTCCACTTGAAAAACTCCAGGATGAAATCCATAAAATTCTCGATACACTTTCTTATAAGCATTGATTGACTATCGTGTCTGACCATTTCCTCATTTTTTTCAGTTTCCTTCAATTCTGATAACTTTCTATTAGTTTCTTCCACTTTGGATTGATCGATTTCATTCTTTTTGCCGTTTTTTTCTCTTTTCTTTCGTTTTTCTTTCGATTTTTCCTTCCTAATTTTCTCTTTTCGTTTCTCGGAACTATCTTTACTCTTTTCTTTCCCCGGTGATGTTTCCGCTTTACTTTTGTCACGTTTCTCGTCGTTTTCCTTCACTGACCGCCTCTCTTTTCCTTTACCCTCCTCGACGTTATCGCCATTTTTATCCACTTTCGATTTTTCAAACTTCGGAGTTGGAAATTTCTCAACCATCACTTGTTCTAAGGACTCAACGGATAAATCTTCATCACGTGATGTAACACGCGATTTCAGTTCTTCTTCACGTGCCATTCTCTCTTGTTCACGTGATTTTCGTTCTTGGTCACGAAGCTCCGTGCTGACGTCAGCGGAATCGAAGCTATCACGAGATTCGAAGCTGTCACGCGACTCAAGCTTATCACGTGCGTCATTGGGTGCTGTCACGCCACCTTCACGTGGCGAACTGCTTCCAGAAGAATCCTCAAATGTTTTTGAATCGTATTCGATGAAATCACCGGAATCAAACTCGCTGTTCGTGGGGCTCATGCTCGAAGGGACAATATTCCGGGGTAGAGAAATATCGCGGACAAAGTTCGTAGAAGGGGTTAGTTTTGAAAGAAGTTTGGAACAGAGCAAAACTCCCTCCTCTAATTCATCCAAAGTCAGATTTTGACAACCACGTGTCAGCTCTTGAATAATTTGAGACAAGAGTTCTGGCCAGTGCTGGGACTCTGTTTCAACTGAAGATTCCTAAACAAAAACAAGTTTGAAAGTTTATGTTATCAGTTGAAATGTCATGTTTTAGAAAGAACTATAGAGTTATCCAATATAAATACAGTTAATTTATTTATAAGGATCAATAAGAGGTGATCCTTACTGGACCTCTAGGAAGAACAGTTTAGAACTGATAGAGCTATCCAGTATAAATAAAGTTGGTTTAGTTTAGGTTTCCTCCTAGCTGTAGTAACACTGGATCAATAAGAGATGATCCTTACTGGACCTCTAGGAAGAACAGTTTAGAACTGATAGAGCTATCCAGTATAAATAAAGTTAGTTTAGTTTAGGCTGTAGTAAGAGATAATCCTTACTGGACCTGTTAAACGGTTTAAAAATAAAAAATCTTACCAATGCAACAATGTTCAAAATGAAGTCAGTCAATCTTATAACATCAAGTACTTCCAATTTATCATCATTTTTATCAAGTTCCCTCACATCTTTCCCAGGGGAAACATTGCCCTCTAGGTCACCTGCTCCAATGGTCGCTGGGCTGTTGTCACCATCAGACCTTCTGTTACAAGCAGCTAAGATCTTTGCAATATACTGCCACATAAAGTATGGTTCAAACGTATTAAACAACAAGTTCCCAGTTTTAATCAGTTCTTCCATTGGGTTCTCTTTTGAAATACTTTGTTTCACTGGCTCATGTTTTCTTAAAGCTATTTCTCGACTCTTTTCAATGCTTTCTTTTGGATTAAAATGCTTGTAGCTCAGGAACAGATTTTTAAAGACCTCTATAAGCACATCCTCAAGGATTGCAGAGCCAATTTCAGGTTTATCAAGCAGGTTTAGCAGGATCCTGAATGGTTTGAGCAACTCTAGTTTTGTAGTTTTTCTTGACATCAGAGCATCCACTCCTGGGATATGAATAATGTTTATGACTTAAGATGGAACTGATAGAGTTATCCAGCATAAATAAATGTAGTTTTAGGTTTCCTCCTGTAGTAACACTGGATCAATAAGAGATGATCCTTACTGGACCTCTAGGAAGAACAGTTTAGAACTGATAGAATTCCAGTATAAATAAAGTTAGTTTAATTTAGGTTTCCTCCTGTAGTAACACTGGATCAATAAGAGATGATCCTTACTGGACCTCTAGGAAGAACAGTTTAGAACTGATAGAGCTATCCAGTATAAATAAAGTTAGTTTAGTTTAGGTTTCCTCCTGTAGTAACACTGGATCAATAAGAGATGATCCTTACTGGACCTCTAGGAAGAACAGTTTAGAACTGATAGAGCTCTGTAGTAGTCTATATAAAGTGCAACCTACCTGGTCCACTCTGTTGCCTAAACAAAGCTTTCATTCCTTCAACAACCAACTTCTTTCCAAACATTTCAAAATATTGGCTGCTATCATCTTCACTGGTGCTACCAGAGAGCTGTGACAATCCAGCGCCGTTTACACCAAGTATCCAGGCATACAGTCTTCGGTTCAGGGACATATCCCTTCGAAGTAGAACTCCAAGTGCGGCAGTCATCAGAGTAGACAGGTGCGCGGGGGAGAGGTAGGGGACATGGAGGGGCAGCAACTGAACTAAGAAGTCAAGGATGTTTCTTTGCACAAGAGCAAGGCTGTCGTTTAGGGCAAGACACAGTCCTTGAACCTAAAATATTAGTTTTTTTCAAACTATTTATATACACAGAGTAAAATACTAAAGTAGGTCACATCTGGGTGCATTGCAAGCTAATGGGTTAACAAGAGACACTGACAGATATTTTTGTTAACTTATTAACTGACAGTACTCTTCCACTGATGAGTAAAATCATCTGACATTAGACAGAGTAAAATACTAAAGTAGTTCACATCTGGGTGCATTGCAAGCTAATGGATTAACAAAAGACACTGACAGACAGAATTTTGGTGCTTTGTGACCATCGATCAATTACTCACCATATATGCATGGTTCTTGCCCAGCAAATGCTGCTGCTCCGTTGGTGGTAAATGTTTGTCCAGTTGCGAGAGGAGAAATATTGTGGCAGGCAATCTTGCTGAAGGTGTTGTGATCACAGATTGCCACAATGCATCAAAGAATATATCGATATCTGTGGCAACACTGATTGACTCCAGCAAAGAAATTGTTCTGGTTAAAAATGGACAACAACAGAAGAATAATAAGGAAGCTAGTAAGCTAGTAGTACCGTACAAAACAGCCTAAGAGTTTAGAAAAAGATGAAAGGATTTTAATTCAAACAGTACAAACCTTTCGGTGTAGTCAGATCCTTCCTCGATTGCTGGCAAAAGACCCAACAACAGACCAGGTAGACTTGGTTCCAAAGCTACACCAAGTGGTATAAAATGTTCTTCATATAATTTCATTAAAACAGGCTTGACAGACATTGCTGAGTGACTCATTAATGGAAATAGCCCAACGCTGTAGATAAATAGGTCTTGGGACAAACGTTTGTTGCCGATACGCTCAAAAATAAGGTTGTAGGTCTCCAGAGCTTTGAGATGAACACCGCTGGGTAGGGCTGGATGCATGCATTGCGATAGTCTTTTACCAATCATTAGTTTTCTGGGAATAACAACAAACTTGGAATAGGAATTCAAAACCTAAAGAAAACACAGCAAGATTAGTCTAAGAAATCGGAAAGCAATATAGGGATATATTATCGCTTAATTTATTTGTATTTTACTCTGTCTAATGCCAGATGATTTTACTTATCAGTGAAAGAGTACTGTCAGTTTATTAGTCAACAAAACTATCTGTCAGTGTCTCTTGTTAACCCATTAGCTTGCAATGCACCCAGATGTGACCTACTTTAGTATTTCACTCTGTGTAATGTCAGATGATTTTACTCATCAGTGGAAGAGTATTGTCAGTTAATAAGTTAACAAAACTATCTGTCAGTGTCTCTTGTTAACCCATTAGCTTGCAATGCACCCAGATGTGGTCTACTTTAGTATTTTACTCTGTCTAATGTCAGATGATTTTTCTCATCAGTGGAAGAGTACTGTCAGTTAATAAGTTAACAAAACTATCTGTCAGTGTCTCTTGTTAACCCATTAGCTTGCAATGCGCTCAGATGTGACCTACTTTAGTATTTTACTCTGATTTTACTCATTAGTGGAGTCAAACCCACAACTTTGCATGCAAATACCTAAAATGATGCAGGCCAAACACTTAGGACTCTTTCAGAATTAAGTGTTTCATGTGACATCATTGGAATCGGACGAAATACAAAGAAATGGAAAACCTGCTTTCCCCTAATGTTATTATGAAAGTACTCCCGGATAAACTAGCTACAAATTATGACAAATTTGAGTAATATTGTTCCTTAATATGCACCGAGATCGGATTCCGTTACAAGTTGTACAAAGACGTACGTGTTACAACTTACAAAATTACATAACCCCAAATTTTTTGTAGAAATATTCATTTACTTGAGGTATAAACCTACCTTGTTTAATTTCCCCAATGCAGAGATCAAATCGGCCCATTCGCTGGTCGACTCGAAACTCCTCAAAGCTTTCTCAACCGCTGCGATAAACTGCCGATATTTGCTGTCAGACAGCAGCTCGACTTCTTCTGAGGACATTTTTTATATCAACGCTTCTTTTAAACGGATTCAATGAACTTTGAGGCTTGTTCTGCATTGCCAAGCATCGTGGACACAACTCATGCGTATAATCTCCATAAATAGCAAACAATTCATCCTTTTTCAAGACGTTTTAATCATTTTCCGGCGGTTTTCAAGTATCTTTCGATCCTAAGCTGAACTAATATATTTTCAACAAAAAATAAACAAAATTTTTGCGACTTTTCGAGTTTATTTTTATTTTGAAAATGCTGAAGTGTTTCCACCGTTGAGAAAATCACATTCAGTTTCAATAGGAAATAACACTGAGCTAATAATAACTGGTATGCTAGCTGAATATACGTATACCGTAATTACTCGAATAAACGCCTCCCACGAATAAACGCCGCCCTCGAATTAACGCCGCACGGACAAGCAAAAATATCATTAAACGCCGCCCTCAAATAAACGCCGCAACCTTTTCGTCATTGCGGCGTTTATTCGAAGCATTTATTTATAACCACTGTAAGAAATTCAAGTATATATCTTTACAAAAAAAGTTTGCAATAAACGCCTCCCTCGAATAAACGCCGCCCTCGAATAAACACCGCATCTTAATTGCTAAAAATTTAATAAACGCCGCGGCGTTTATGTTAATGAAAGGGACCGCGAAGCAGGGGGGGCTGAGAGAGAGGCTTTAGCCCCCCCCCCCCAATAATTTTCAAAACACATGTGATTATTACATAGTGATATTTATATGGTCCTAGTTATAACAAATCAAAAAAATCCTTTTATATAATTCTAAATTTAACCCAAACGTGTACGTGTCTATTGCTAGCACACCCCGTTGAAACCTCTGTGTCCGATCTTCATTGTATTTGTGGATGAAAGGATAAGACTTCATAAACCAGAGACCTCAAAAATCTCAACATTTGCCCCAAAAATAGACGAATACTTGGAATATCAATTTGATACTTGGAATAACAAAAAAATGCAAATGTCTGAAGATATTTAAAATTCTCCCAGCAGGTGGCAAAATGGTATTGTGAAAATGAAGCAGTTACCGCCATATAAGGAAGCAGATCAAGTCTACCATGAAATCATGCAATGTTTTTAACAAAATAAACATTGCGACGTTGCAAGGAGTTGTCTCAACATAAAATATTATTGACATCGTTGAGATCAACTTGCATGGTTAAGAAATTGGTGGAAATCCTTCTTCTTTGGTATGTTTAATCTAATTCATAACTGTTCAAAGCTGCATGATTTGTCACAGTCAATAGTGGCTTCGAGATATCGTATATTCAGTAATTAAATCAGCTTTTAGACTTTTCTTTGTCTATAACGCTGAAGGATATATCGCTTTTCGTTAAACCGCTAACCTTAGTAGTTGTAATTCTCAGAATAAGGCTCAACTTCAACTTCTAATACTTCTAGGAAGGCACTAGATAGGATCGACTGAAACCACGAAGAGCCCGCAATAAGTTAATATTTCATGTATGCATTCAGCGGTAATTTTCACACAATCTCATTTCCGAATTTGATTTCCGTAATCTGATTACGTTTTGGCCAGTTTTGGCATTTTGCTCTTCTCGCCATAGGCAGCCCAATGGCGAATGGTTTTATTTTTTATTTGAAATAAAAATGCACACTTTAATAAAATAGACACGTTGTGTCATTTATTTACATGCTTATGTACTTGTCTATAATTTACATGCTAATATGCATTGTTACATTATGTAATAAGATTGATATTGTTAATAATGGGGTTAATATTTAATAAGTTGTCAGGAGCGTGTGATTGATAAGGGGGCGTAAAAAGACAGAGACTTCAAAGTGAAAGACTGTAATTTGTTGGACATAAATGTATATATAAAGGTCTATGTTACAAAGATAATAAAACTTGAAACATGCATGCCTGACAATGTTCAGGCAATGTAGGTTACATAGTATAATATATCCTATATAATATTTGCAAGATATATCCTACATCCTATTATATAGGATATATTTGTTATACTATATAATGATTATGATTTTTATATGATTATGATTTTTATATTATATACTACATAATACCTACATTGCCTGAACATTGTCAGGCATGCATATTAGCATGTAAATTGTGGACAAGTACATAAGCATGTAAATAATTGCATAACATGTCTATAGTGTGCATTTTTATCTCAAATAAAAAATAAAACCATTCGCCATTATCGGCTGCTTATGGTGTTGCCAAATTTATTAAAAAGTGTAAGGACCCAACAAGGCAACAAAGACCAAATGAGGAAAACAACCAGTGAACTATCATAAATTATTAATTAGGTAAGTTTTGTGAACTTTCCTACTTTTTATATAAATACACATATTAAAAAGTATAAATACACACAAATAATTATCAGGTTATTCAATTTACTTCAATATTAAAAGTGAAAGTGCCTAATTCTCCCCATAGCAATAAATTTACAAAGTCATAGCATGGTTTTACTGTCATTTACTGTCCTTTCATCCTTTGGGGATTCCACATGTATGCATGGAAACATTGCATATGAATATTATTTGAATATTACACCTCCTAATTATCAAGTTGGCAATGCCACTGACATACTTATTTTAAATATTTCTAGGCATGCATACATTATATTTTATACTTGTTGAACATGCAACATGCTGAGCAAGGTTAGGTCATTGTATCAGTGAGCTACACTATGCCTATGTCACAGAGTAGATGATAGATACAGAGCTGGACCTAGATTGCATTTTGTCATTAAATATAGCATTTTTGTGTACCCTCTTTTGTCATGCCCTAGGCAAAAAAATGATCAACTGCACATGCCTGGCAAGTGTCCTGGCCAAAGGATATGATCAAATAATATGCATATGCAATGTTTCCATCACATGCATGTGGAATCCCCAATGGATGAAAGGACAGTAAATGACAACAAAACCATGCTATGACTTTGTAAATTTATTGCTATGGAGAGAATTGTGCACTTTTACTTTTAATATTGAAGTAAATTGAATAGCCTAATGATTATTTGCGTGTATTTATACTTTTTAATATGTGTATTTATATAAAAAGTAGGAAAGTTTACAAAACTTACCTAATCAACAATTTATGATAGTTCTTTAAGACTATTTGTTTTCCTAATTTGGTCCTTGTTGCCTTGTTTTTAATTAATTTCGCGACACGAGCAAAATGCGTGAAAATTACCGCTGAATGCATACATGAAATATTAACTTATTGCGGGCTCTTCGTGGTTTCAGTCGATCCTATCTAGTGCCTTCCATACTTCTAACTTGTATGTTATAATTCCGGGAATTTCGTTCAAGAGATAAATATTAAAAGGTTTTGACAGAGATTTATATACTTTGAAGTCTATCGTACAGGACGTAGGTTCTAAAGAACCGACAGTTCCTCAATATTTCTTATCTGCTATTGCGGTTAGGTCTTAAAGGAATATAAATTCTACTCTCCTCTCAATAAAATAGGAACCTCTTTTGTAAATAATTTCAGACTTCATTATAGAAACATCAAAATAACTACACAACAGAAGCAGGAAGTGTAAGAGTTAAATTCTTACCTGTCTGGTTTTAACGAATATTTCACAGAAATTTGCTTTCATTAACCATCATGCGAGAGGGAGGGAAATTGATCGAGTGTCTCTTCATGGTAAGGGTTGTTGTAGATAAATAATTCTGTCTTTAGTGACATATTACTTGTTAGGTAAATCATTATCAACTAACGCATGATCGAAGTTCAATTTGAACTTGATCACGCTCCAGAACTTGATCACGCTCCAGAACTTGATCACGCTACAGAACTTGATCACGCTCCAGAACTTGATCACGCTCCAGAACTTGATCACGCTCCAGAACTTGATCACGCTCCAAAACTTGATCATGCTCCAGAACTTGATCACGCTCCAGAACTTGATCACGCTCCAGAACTTGATCACGCTCCAGAACTTGATCACGCTCCAAAACTTGATCATGCTCCAGAACTTGATCACGCTCCAGAACTTGATCACGCTCCAGAACTTGATCACGCTCCAGAACTTGATCACGCTCCAGAACTTGATCACGCTCCAGAACTTGATCACGCTCCAGAACTTGATCACGCTCCATTGAACTTGATCACGCTCCAAAACTTGATCACGCTCCAGAACTTGATCACGCTCCAGAACTTGATCATGCTCCAGAACTTGATCACGCTCCAAAACTTGATCACGCTCCAAAATTTGATCATGCTCCAGAACTTGATCACGCTCCAGAACTTGATCACGCTCCAGAACTTGATCATGCTCCAGAACTTGATCATGCTCCAGAACTTGATCATGCTCCAGAACGATCATGCTCCAGAACTTGATCACGCTCCAGAACTTGATCATGCTCCAGAACTTGATCACGCTCCAAAACTTGATCACGCTCCAGAACTTGATCACGCTCCAGAACTTGATCACGCTCCAGAACTTGATCACGCTCCAGAACTTGATCATGCTCCAGAACTTGATCACGCTCCAGAACTTGATCATGCTCCAAAACTTGATCATGCTCCAGAACTTGATCACGCTCCAGAACTTGATCACGCTCCAGAACTTGATCATGCTCCAGAACTTGATCATGCTCCAAAACTTGATCATGCTCCAGAACTTGATCATGCTCCAGAACTTGATCATGCTCCAGAACTTGATCACGCTCCAAAACTTGATCATGCTCCAGAACTTGATCACGCTCCAGAACTGGATCATGCTCCAGAACTTGATCATGCTCCAGAACTTGATCACGCTCCAGAACTTGATCACGCTCCAGAACTTGATCACGCTCCAGAACTTGATCACGCTCCAGAACTTGATCACGCTCCAGAACTTGATCACGCTCCAGAACTTGATCACGCTCCAGAACTTGATCACGCTCCAGAACTTGATCACGCTCCAGAACTTGATCATGCTCCAGAACTTGATCACGCTCCAAAACTTGATCACGCTCCAAAACTTGATCACGCTCCAGAACTTGATCACGCTCCAGAACTTGATCATGCTCCAAAACTTGATCACGCTCCAGAACTTGATCACGCTCCAAAACTTGATCACGCTCCAGAACTTGATCACGCTCCAGAACTTGATCATGCTCCAGAACTTGATCATGCCCCAAAACTTGATCATGCTCCAGAACTTGATCACGCTCCAGAACTTGATCATGCTCCAAAACTTGATCACGCTCCAGAACTTGATCACGCTCCAAAACTTG